ATGTCTTAAAACGAAGTCATAATGAGCACCAACCCTATCCATAGTCTTTCCGAGCTGTGTTCGTACAGTATCTGCTGTCTTCATAGTACGGTAATTGATAAAATTGTCATAACACCACTGTACATCTTCGTTATCTGAATTAAGCTGCATTACACGACGCTCACCATTATGTTGGGGTTGCCAGTACAAACAAAAGACTATTAGGAACGCCGATAAGCAAAAAAAAATGGTCTACTGACAAAAAAAATTTAAGTGAAGGACACATGCAGACTGCATTTCTCGTTAGTGATCAAGAAAAAAATCTAACTCTGCTTAAACGCATGGTAAACATTCAGCAGGGTCAGATGATCTCCATCAACGTGAGCAAATCGGGCTTTCGCTTCATCCGCTTCCTTTTTCATTTCATTCGGCCGTACAAAGCACTGTGGTACTGAAAGAAGAAAGTGTAGCATACAAACAGGAAAATCTTCAAAAAACATAAGTAACAGATGAAAGCTCGGTAACGATCCACGAAATTCAGCCATCAATAAGCATAAGAGTGGCAAGATTCCACAAGTAAGATATTGATTTCACGAGAGAATGTGAAGATACCTGACAACATAGCCGTGATTGACAAGATTTCATTCGAGCAGTTCAGTTCTGTCGATGTTATAAGCATTTTTGCTGAAATGAAAAGACTTAAGAAAAACTGAGTAACTAACTAACTAGTAAGTGATAGTACAACATCACTGTATGTGTAGTTAAAATTCCTTATTTTGGCACTGTTCATCTTTAAGAACCCCACTTTTCAAAGACTGGGAGAAATTTTCACATAACTTTGTTCCCGGTGGTAAATTTGGCCGAAAAATTGTCTGATTCGGTATCTCATTGCCTGTCCTGACATCACAACCAAATGGAGCGAGATCTTTGGAGGCGAGCCATTTCGCTTTCGCTATGCAAATGGGCACAATCTTCGCATTCTGGAAGCCAGGCACCTCAAGAGACCATCCCCAACTCCTGGTGAAGTCCACAACATGGACCAAGTTCTTTACGAATCTACCCCAACATTCGAAAAGGTGAGTCGTGAACAATAGAAAAAGTAGAATTCTCCAACTTCACATCAATCGGAGTCATACAAAACTCTACAGCACCCACTTAGGAGCTTGGTTTATACCCTAAGAGAAGAGTAATATAAAAAGACTGAATGTAGTTCACCTAGTTGTGGGTCCAAAGGGAAT